GCTGTGTATTAGCTGTACCTCTCTGTGCCCCAATTTTCTTGTCTATGGAATGTGGTAAGAGTATCTGGCTCACGGGGATGTGATGAGGATCGAACACATTGTATGCATGAAGAGCTTTAAATAATACAGGCTCACTTTTGTGATGTCCTCTTTGCCCTTGCCTAAGGTCACAGTCAGTAGGTGGCCAAGCCCCATCAGGGGGCTGCTCCCACCCGTCCCTGCTTCCTGTAGCCTATTCCTCCAGCAGCGCCAGATGGTAGCCAAGGGCTTGGCTTCAAGTGGGAGAGCTTGAGGTTCAAATCCTGCTTCATCCTGGGTGTGTGACTCTACTTCCCACACTCTGGGCTTCCTACCTATGAGATAGACAGTCCCTTGTCCATGAGTGACTCAGCCAGGATAGCCAGGACAGCAGCATCCCCCAGGGGCTCTGCTCCCAGCCCTTGCCTGTGTCAAGGAAGCCTCAAGGGACTCAGCTCCTGGCCCGGGCCCTCCCCTGGCATCTGGCCCTGTGCAGCTGCAAGCGCATCTCTGGAGTCACCTAGTTCAGTCTGAGCAGAGATTAATGTGGGGCCGGTGAAGTCTCAAAGGCCGTGGTTTCACCAGTTAATATGCACATTTAAGGAATGATGGTGAAAACATTTAAAAGACTGCTAATTTCAGCAGCAGAGACAAATTCTGAGCAGCAGAACTCACAGGGAAGGGCGCATGGGGATGGGGGTGCCAGGTACCCTGGCTCAGAGGTCGGCTCCCCAGGGAGGGTGAACAGGGTTCTCCCAGGTGCTGTGTGCCCCCCAGGAAGACCCAAAGCAGAAACTGGTAAGAAGGGGAGACTGGGCTTAGTTTGGGGGTCAGCTGGGCTGGAATCTTCTGGAAGAGAGGTCCTTGTTGGCACTGTGCAGAGTAGATAGCAGAGGGGATGCAGTTCTGGGGGCTTCAAGGAAGGGGTACGGCTCGAATTTAATAGTGGGTGGGAGGGAGGGGGTGGGACCTGGGGACTTTGCACCTACTTTTTTTTTTTGGTACCAGGGATTGAACTCCGGACCTTGAGCTTGGGAGGCAAGTGGTAGAACCACTGAGCTAAATCCCTGGCCCTGCACCTACTTTTCAGGAGATGAAGATGCCTGTCACCAAGCGGGTGGGATGGGGTGCCCCATATGTGAACTGAGATCCCAGGCTCTTCCAACCAGTGTCCAGGCTCCATCAAGGACCTGAAGAGGAAGGAGGGCAGGGACAGCAGCCTGACCTTCCCTAGTGACTTCTGGAACCTCTGTTTGGGAAAGGTGGATTCACTGCTCCCACATACTGCAAAATGACACCCAGCAATCGGCCGGTGGTGCGGTCGGGGGCAGATGTGTGCTCACCTTGAGCACTTCGCCTCCCCACCCTTCTGCCCATGATCTCATCCCTTGGCACCAGGAAGTGTGTCACCCAGCTTCTTTCAGGGCTCCCCGAGCTCTCGACCCCAGCCTTCCCATCCTCCTATCCAGCCACAAGTGGGGGAGCTTGTCCCCAGTGGGCGTGTCCCTCCCATCTCCCCAAAAGGCCTCAGAGCTGAGGAGTCCGTGTGAAGCCAGCCAAGATGAAAGGCCTTTCCAAGTGCCCAGTGTGGTTATTAATAATGTCTCTCGGCTCTGAATGCCTCTTTAATTCCTCTGCTTAAACCACTCTGGAATCCATAACACTTGCCCCTTAGCCTGTGGTTATTCCACTCCCTTAATGGCCTTTTATGGAGGGACCTTATTGAAAGCTTCTCCCCAGCCTGAGTAAATCATGTCTTCTGGGTCACCCTTGCCTGCAGTTTTATTAACTTCTTGCAAGAAAGTCGGATGGACCAGAGGGAGGCCAGTGTTTCCTCTGTGTTCTGTCCTGGCTGGACCCAGCACTGTCCTTTAGCTGTCTGTGGTCACAGAGAAGGAGGTGGCTGAGCACCTTGGAAATCAAGAGTGGTTAGGTTGTCCCAACCCAATGCCTCTCCTTTCTGCACCTTCATGTATGGATCCTTGGAGGAGGAAAGGGGCAGGGAGCCCAGGTATTCGGTGCTGGACCCAGGGAAGCAGGGGTTGGGAGGCACATAGGTTCTTGGCACATAGGGTTACCTGGTGCATCAGGTGCATTAATTATCTGGTGCATCAATTGGCTGGTATACCAGTTATCTGGCACATAAGTTAACTGGAGCATTAGTTACTCAGTGCATTAGCTGTCTGGTGCATCAGTTACCTGGTGCATTGCTGCCCAGGGTACTGGTAACTAACAGTAAGCAAGGGTGTTCAGCTTTGGGATGGGGCTTGAGGGTCTAGGAGAGGAGCAGGAAGGGGAGAGGACGGAAGTGGGGCTGAGGCCTGCATGTCCAGGGAGGGGGAGGGGGCATCTTAAGGGGTCCTGGACCCATCTCTGCTGTTGGCTCACTGGGCCTGGAGTGTGGAGTCCCACAGAGGATGACATCAGACCGACATCTAGTGCCCCTTCCCCAGCTCTGAACTCTGAAAGGCGTCAGCCTCTCTCTCCTGGTTAGAGGAGCTCAGGAGCTCTGCAGGGTCATGGTCCCTCTTTGTGACCATAGCAAAGGGCAGCGGGGAGGAGCAAGAGTGGGAACAGGGCTGGATCCACACCCCATCGCCATGTGTCTTCTTCCACCTCTCTCCAGGAAGGATCTCAAAGGCGTCTCCAGCCCCTGGACGGCCAGGAAGAGAGAGGGTCCCCCATGTGCAGCTGTGGGAGGAGCTGCCATCCCAGAGCCCCACTATCCAGGTCATGGAAAGAGGAACCCGAGAGCCCTTCTCTTGCCCCACTCTGGGAAGTAGACTGAGCAGCAGACCAGGAGTCCAGAGGTGGGCTCCTCCCAGCTCCCCTCAGTGGGCTGCAGCCCTGCCTCTGACTGTGGCCAGGAGAAAGCAGACAGCACTCTGGGAGGCTGAGGCAGGAGGATGCCAGTTAGAGCCCAGCCTGGACAAATCAGCCACTCAGTAAGACCCTGTCTCAATCAATCAGTCAATCAATCAATCTATCTATAATTGATTAAAAGGCTGGGGACATAGCTCCGTGGGTAAGACCTGGGTTCAATCCCCAATGCCTAAAACAAAGTGGCTTCCCCTAATACCTCTGCCATCCTCCATACTTCCCCACACTGGACCCGAAGGTGGGTCTGATCCTCACCTCTTGCCCTGAGGCCCTATCAGTAGTGGGACCAGCTAGATACCAGGCTCTGCGCCAGGACTTTGCAGGTTCTGCCTCCCAGCACCCTATCTGAATCCGGCCACCCTCCCGGTTACTCTCTCCTGCTCTAAGCACTGACCATGATGTGGTATCCATTTGCTCATTGATCTGGCATCAGTCCTCTCTCAGACCAGGTAGATGGCCCTGACTTAAAATGGTTTGTCTTAGGGTTTTCGATGTTATGGTGAGGCAAAGCACAGCCATATCACTGTTAGGGATTTCACCTTCAGAGCAGTGTTCAACAAAGTACAAGACATTCCGCCTTTATTATAAAAAGGGCGTTGTGTTAGATGATTCTGCCCGGCTGCCAGCCAGTGTGTGTGTTCCCAGCATGCTTAAGGCAGGCTTGGCTAAGTGAGGATGTTTGGTAGCTTAGGCCTGTCTGTTGATCATTTCCAACTTAGAACATTTTCAGTTTGCAATGGGTTTATGGTGCTGTAACCCTATCCTAAGTTGAGGAGCACCTGTAAATTCCTCTTGTGTGCTACAGCCTCTCCAGTATCCAGTATAAGGCTTGGCACACAGTAGGTGTTTGTTAAACAATCAACAAATAAATCAGACAAATAGGCTTAGAGAAGTCAATCATTTCCTCAGGGTCACACAGTTTGTATCTAGTGGAGCTAGAGTTCACACCCAGGTGATCAGGTAGGGTCTGCTCCCCTGTGCTGCTAAGTGCTGCCTGGAGGTGCCAGGGGGCACTGGAGTCTCAAGCTGAACACCTGTACCAGTCACTTGTCCATTGCTGGGACAAAATACCTGACCTATACAACCTAAAGGAGAAAAGGTTTTAGTCTAGGGTTGGCTGGCTCCAAGGCACAAACAGGGCAGAAGGGCATGGTGAAAGGAAAGCTATTCACCTCGTGGAAGCCAGAAAGCAGAGAGACAGTGAGAAAGAGCCAGAGAGTGAGGAAGGGGCTGGGGACAGGAATACACCCCTTGGGTTACACCTCCTGTGACCCACTTCCTCCAACATGGCCCCACTTCCTCCAACATGGCCCCACTTCCTCCAACATGGCCTCACTTCCTCCTAACAGCATGTTCAGCCACAAACTTATCCTCCATTTAATCCACCAGGGAGTGTAGCACCCCCATGGTCCAATCACCTTCCCAAAGGCTCTTCTCTGAGCATGGGAGACTTTTATAGGATATTTTAGACCTAAACCACAGCAGCACAGATGCTAAAAGCAGCCCAATCCTGGAGCCTTCGCATTCCCCTGTATTAAATTTCCCAGCGGCGCAGGAAGCAGTCAGACTCTGTCTGCCATGGGAGCCTGGCTGGGGACACACTTTGTGGCCTGAGGTCTCTCTCCTTCCCTGCAGATAACCACAGGCTGGGTATGGTGGGCATGGTCACTTCTCAGTCCTGCTCAGGGAGGAGGAAGTAGGTCAGAACAGCACTTCCACCTGGACTGTCACCCATACCTGAGTGTCTGTCCCCACCCTGCCCACAGTTCAGGCCATGTCCCCTCGAACCTGTGCAACCCAAGGCACCTGCTGTGGGCTCCTCCTCCCACTCAGACCCCTGCAGTGCTCAGAGGCTTCTGCCCCACTTACAGACCCAGTAGGATCTGCCCCCTCTTCCTCCCCTGGCTTCTGCTCATCCCAAGGCCCCTCCTGCACCCCCTGACCTCTGACCCCGTTGCCCCTGCAGCCCAAGCTCTGCCCCCCCCCCCACTGGGGATGGAGCCGGCACGCCACACCCAGCCCCCTTATCACAGCTCTCCAGGTTCAGCCTCAGTGCTCTGTCACCTCTCTGGAGAGCCCTCCCCGGACACCCCCACCCCGTTTTTCTGCTGCAACACACTTATCCCTGAGTCTAAATCCAAGATTACCTCATTTTCTTATAATGTATTCATTTCGCTTCCGTCTCCCCCTCCAGAATGCCAGGCAACTCCAAGAGGGCAGGGATGGTGTTTGCTCTCTGCTCTGACGCTGGGACCCAGAGTGGTGTGTGCCTCACAGTAGCTGCCCAGCACACTTTTGTTGAATGAATGAATGAATGCATATTTCACCTCGGAAGGAGGCTGGCTTGGGCCTCCCTGCTGGGCAGGTCCGTGCCGCCTGTCCCAAGCTCCTGATGTGCCAATCCTGGGGGTGCGGGAGGGCAGAGGAAGGGGGACAAGGCCACTCCCAGCCTGTGCTGAGCCTCTGGGGTGACAGCCACTCAGAGAGAGATGGATGCACCTGCCTGGGGCGGCTGCCCGGGAAGCAGCTTGCTATTAATAACGCCAGTAGCACCTGTCAGGCAGGAGGCAGTGGCATGGGAGACAGAGAGATGCTCCCTCCACACCAAGCCAGGGCACATGAGGTTGGGGAACAGCACCCTGCTTTCTAGGAGACAGGAAAGTTGATTTTGGGGGATGGCTTCTCAGGGGGTCTAGAGCACTTCTGGCACCCTCCCCTACACAGAGAGTTCTGCCCTGGCTGAGGAGACCTGCAAGTCACCAGCAGGGGCAGAGGGTGTCCCCTCCCACCTCTGGCCTTGGCTGTCATCAAAAAGGACCCCAGCAGAGAGGCAGAGCCTAGGCCCTAGGACTGGAGAAAGGGAAGTCCCCAAACCCCTCTTCCTTCTTTCTGCCTCTGGGGTGGTTTCTGGGGAACAAAAATAAAAGTGAGTGTCGGGGTGGAAGAAGGGATGGAGAAGGAGGAGAAATAAAGGTGTTGCGGGCTGCTTGGTGGCCACTCCAGCCATGGGCAGGGACTTGGTTCAGATGCCCCTGACACCTGGCTTAGCCCTAGTCCTGGGGGGTGGAAGGTTTTGAGAAGCCGGCAGAGCCACTGACAGGAGAGGGTGCAGCTGTTTTCTCTCTCCCAGCAAGAAAAGAAGCCCTGTTACACTGTTATTTTTAGGGCAAACAGCACTCCGTCACCTCCTAGGACACCTTCTGTTCGCAGCACACAGTACCTCCCCGTGGCAGCCAGGTGAGAATGTTGGGGACCCCCTGCTGCATCCTGCACCCCGCCATGCTCAGGTCTGCCACCCCACCTGACCCAGATGCCACGGCCTGCCTAGAGCCCCTCCCCACCCCCTCCAGCCCCTGCCTCTCTTTGTCCCTTCCCTGACCCATAGCCCGGAATCCTCTGGCACTGGCCTGTCTACACTTCAGGACCCAGGGGCTGTGCTAGTCTCCAGGCACTCTCCAGAAGCCCCAGCCCCTGCTCCACATGGCCTAGCACACCCACTCCGGCCTTACCCACAAGCCCAGCCCTGCCCCAAAGGCCAGCCCGGCCTGCCATGTCCCTGTGTCCACTCTGGGGAGTCCCCGAGAGAGCTCAGGGTTGGGGCTGGCACTGGCCTGGGAGAGGCCTTAGAGTTGCATCTGGAGCTGACAGAGGACATCATCAGCAAGTTCCTGACTAAGCCGCACTTCCACTGCCATCAGGACACTGTGCACTGAGCACCGGGCCAGAGAAACGTCGCGCTCCTAAAAGGTGTGGCACTGGGGACTTGGCAGCCACCTCTGTGCTGGGGTGGGGCTCAGGGTGTCCCTGCATGGCCCCCAGTGTGACTGTTCGCCCTTGCCCTGCTCCCCTTTTCCCCCATACAGGAGGCTTCCCCAGACACTGGAGCCCAAGCCCAAGAGCGCCCGTTTCCTGAGCTGCTTCCCTACATCAGGCCCTGGCCTGAGCCCAGGCCTTCTGACCCCACAGGTGGGACGGTCACTATCCCACGGGCAGCTCGGGTCAAACCACTCGTCTAAGGTCACAGAGCTAAGCCTGGCAGAGCCGCGATAAGGACATGGGTCTTGGTTGCTTCTGGGTCCCTGGGGCGGAAGGTGCCCTGTATCACCTGCACCAAGTATTTACTCAAGACAAAAGAAAATGACCTGAGCACAGCAAAGTGCTAGGGGAGAGTAGACTGGGCCCTGGATGAGGAAGAAAAAATCTTCCTGCCTCTGCCATTCCTGGCAAAGTCCTCCGGGGATGTTCCAGCCAGTGCAGAAGAAGGAGCCTCGGGGAGGCCATGGCACAGGTGGGGTGTGGGGTGGAGACAACGCCCAGCCTTTGGGGAGTGGGGGGTTGTATGTAGTGTGCATACTACAGAGTAGGTGTCTATGTAGTGTATATGCATAGGACACATGTAAAGCATGTGTAGTACACATGCAATGCCCACATAGAGCACACATAAGGCATACGTCCTACACATCTCGGGTATATGTGGTCCAGAGGTGGTGCAGTTGTAGAGCATATGTGGTATACACAGGGCTCTAGGACCAGTCCCTCCCGGCCAGTTTCCAGGGCCAGGCGCTGCTATCTCCCCTCCGGCCTCTAGGGGGCGCACTGCCCCCCAGCCTTTCCCAGAACACTCGTCATCCAGGCCCCCGACAAGCACGTGGGAGCTTTGCTTTTTATTTAGACTGATTTATTATTGAAACGACTTGAATCCGTTTCAAAGTAAGTGAAATGAGAAAAGATCTTCAGCTCCAGTCTCATAAATCAAGGGGAATACAAAGAGAGGAGGAAACAAAGAAATCACAGCCGCTTGGAAAGAGATGGGCTTGCGTGGCCTGCATAGGAGAAAGCCGGGCCAGGAACCGACAGAGGGTCCTGGGAGCGAATCTTCCCTTCTTTCCTCCAGCTGGGGATCCTGGCCCAGGAGCTGTCCCTCCTCCTGCCACCGTGCTGGGTGAGAGGCTGGAGTCTCTGTAGCTTGGGGTGGCTGACATCTGGGACCTCTCGTCCTTGTCCCTTCTGGAGGCACCTTCCCTGGCCCAGGGTTCCTGGAGACGGAAGGTGGAGACTCTGTGGTGTGGTTTGGGGCTGGGAGTTGGGCACAGGGTCTCTGGATCCTGGATGTCAGTGGAGAGATGTGATTGTTGGTGTGGCAGTGAGGTTATGTAAGGCTGCTCAGAGCCCTGCTTTGTGTGTCCCTGTGAGTGTGTGTGTGTGTGTGTGTGTGTGTGTGTGTGTGCCCAAGCACTCAGCCAGGCCTGGCCTGGAATATCAAATCCAGCCCAGATAAAAGGAAACCTCTGGCTGCCAGCTCTGGTGCCCTGAAAGCTGGGCTGCTTTGCTTTGGTGCCCAGCTGCCCACAGCTCTTAGCTCTAGGAACTTGGGGGCTCCCTCTGCTGCCACACAGCAAAGCCGGCCCGGGACACTCACTCTCCTGCCTCACAGGACACAGGACCCATTGCCTGGGGCAGGGTTTGCATCAGAGACCCAGGCCAATCATCAGCTGCAAGATGGAACAGCCGGGGGCGGAACCCACACCAGGACAGCAAAGAGAGAGGGCACCATGAAGGGCAGCAGGTGCCAGGGGCAGAGGCAGAGAGCCTGACCAACAGCACCCAGAAAGTCAGAGGGAGGCAGTGTCCCAGTGCGCCAGGTGGGAAATCTAGGGAGAGTGCAGCTGAGTGGCTCTTGCAGGGTCAGAGGGACAGGGCTGACATCTCCGCTGGTGGTGGCTGGTGGTAGGAGAGGTGCTTCTGATCCCTCCAGGACTCCAAGCTTGTGGTAGGTGAGCTCATTTGTGATTTCACCCAGGTCCGCTACCACATCTGCAAAAAAACCAGCCTGCTAAACATCGCTCACCGTCTGTCATTTTCATTTCTCTTTTGTCTTCAGCATAAAGAGAATCAGAAACTCCTGAGGTGGTTTTTACACATCTGACTCTCAGTCCCCCGACTCCTTTCTTCATGATTCTGCTCTGTTTGTCTTCGTCCTGGGCTCTTGGCTCTGGTGCGTCCCTCCCACCTGGAGGTCCAGGGTCCCTCGACCTCCCCCATGCTCCTGATGAGCCCCGCCACTAGACTGGACAGCCCGCTGCTTTGGATTCTGCCACTTTCACATGCCTGGGGCTTAGCAGGCCTGCAGACTGACAGGGTCCATAAATCACCGTGGCAAGGGGGCACTGGGCAGGGCAGAGTGGGGCAAAGTGCTGACACAACACCCGCTTGGGAGTCGGGGTTCCATCAGTGGAGCCCGGGGCTGCTGTCCATGCCTGGTTCAGTGAAGCATCTGAGTTGTGGTGCCAGACTCTTGCACGAGCATTGTGCAGCTCCACAGAAGGCGGGCCAAGAATAGGCTGAGGCAGAAGCAAGCGGGAGTGGGGGGATGCTGAAGGAAGAACTTGCTGTGAGAACGATTAATGTTGAAATGGGAGTCCTGGGAAACGGTGAAAGCCCTTGGCTAGGAGATCATATAGCCGGGTGGATTCTGCCTGTGGATCACACACGGGGCTGCCAGGAGATGGGGTGGGCAGAAAGGTCCACTCGACGAAGAAGTCTTTGCTTTGTCTGAGAGGATGGTGGGAATCAAGAGAGCAAAGAAGTCACCAGCAGGGTTTGGGCCCCGGTGCCTCCCTCTGCCCTGCTGTGTGATTGTGGCCAAGGCGCTCAAGCTGGCTGGTCTCTTCCTGGGAAACGGGTCCGTGCTTCCTCACAGTTGCTATGTGGTTTAAAGGGCTCAGCATGCAGCACTCTCCATAAAGCACAGCTATCATTATCAGGCAGAACACTCAACCTAGACCTCTGTGTCTTCAGCTGTAACTCAAACACCCAACTCTCACTCCTTCAGGACCCAGTCATCGGGCCCCTACTGTGTGCCAAGCTTGGTCCAGGCACCAGGGTGCAGCGAGTCACATGGGAGACGTGATCCTGTCCTTGTGGAGCTCACATTCTAACTGGGAGGAGGAGTGGGAGAAACAGGAAGCAGATGTGCTCTGAGAAAATGCAGTTGAATAAGGGTGGGGCGGAGAGGTGGGGTGGGAGAGGCTGCTGATATGATGACATTTGAACGGAGAGCTTTAGGACAGGAAGGAGTGAGCTGCTCAGATGTAAGGAAGGAGCAGGAGGCAGCAGGAACAGCAGGTGCATAGGCCCTGAGGCTAGCACTTGCCTGGTGAGTTTGAGGAACAGGAAGGAGAGATGTGGCCGGATGGAAGAGGCACAGGAGGCTGGAAGGAGATCCTGTTAAGGAGGAAGCAGGTAGCTCAGGGAAAACTAGTGCTCTGCAGAATTTTGATAACAGTTCACCTGCAGGGGGCGGCAATTTGATTGCAACATTCGGGACCACTTGAGCTTCCAGCAGCTCCTGTTCTGGACCTGGAGACCAGCAAGCCTCCAGCATCATCCCCTGCTTACAGCCTCCTGTTTCTACCCTGTTTCTGATCCGTGGCAGCCAGCCATGGCATTGCAATGTAAAAACATTCTTTGTTGCTATAAATGGAGAGGAGTTTAATGCATGCAACCTCACTCCAGCCCACAGCTTTATCTTTGTTTTGTAAATGTGGCAGTGAAGCTCGGGGAGGTTCTGTGCTTGCTGGAGGCACACAGACCATCTGGTGTGGGGGAAAGGGATTGTGTTGACCCCTACTTTATGAGCAGTTTTGTAAATGTGTGAGTTCTAAAATGAGCGACAGGATCCTGGGGTCTTTCCCCTGAAGGCTATTGCCAGAGGTATCCCAAAAGCCAAGGTGAACACATAGCCTATGGACCCCTACCTCCATGGCTGCAACTGTGGCAGACATCACTAATCAATCACAGAGCTCCCTCATGCTGAGCACAGATGTGACCTCAGTCCTGGAAAGCCCACATGGGGTTGGTTTTATAAAAGGCAACATTTGCCAACTCAGCTGCAAGAACAAATTGTCTTAGGGGCTTCTCCTGGGGGGGTGAGGGTGGTGCAGCAATGGCCCAAGGTCTGGACTTAGAACTTTTGACAGGTCTCTCCCTGATTTATAAATGGACTGTTACTCTGACACCAGAAACAAAATCAGTGCAGTCCTGAGAGTTGGCTTCGCTGTGCTGGGTCACTTGTCTGCCCTGCAGGTGCTCAGGGTGTTTAGATCCCTGCCAAGATTTGTTCCAGCCACCAGATGTGGGTCAGGCTTGTGACTGGTGACCGACACAAGAGCTGGAGATGGAAACGGCTCCCAAAACAAGTCCTTTCCCGGGCTCAGGCAAGCAGATCAGATCTGTGACCAGAAAGCTGCCTGCTACACAGCGATCAGGTGGAAGTGGGGTGGGGGCTGAGAGTGCAGAAAAGGATGGGGAGGGGGAGGGAGAGAGAGGAGGGGGATGGGGTTCCCCCCCTTTTCTGCCACATTCATCGAACTGGGCTCCTGAGGCAGATAGTGTCAACCGGATATAGACTCACAGTTACATCTGCCTGCTACAAGAGGGTGGAGTGGTGTAGTGGAGCCATAGCTTTGGGTTCCAATCCCCGTTCCCACTCACCTGCTTCAGTATCCCCATCTACAGAGGAGCTTCCTGTTTCCATAAGGAGAAACATCACACTCCCAGCCTTTCTCTACCCTGTCACAGTCTGCGACTGTGGGCAAGGACTAAACCTGGCACTTCAACCTTATCCACTGGATTGTAGTTGTTGTTTCTCAATTGGATCTCATCTCCGGAGGGGAGGTGGGGAGTTCAGTCCTTAGGGGCCACTGAGCCTTCTTTTTCTTTCCTTTTCCTTCCTTCCTTCCTTTCCTTCCCTCCCTCCCTCTTTCTTTTCTTTCTTTCTTTCTTTCTTTCTTTCTTTCTTTCTTTCTGTACTGGGGATTGAACTCAGGGAGTGCTGAACTACACCCCCAGTTCTTTTTAGTTTTTATTTTGAGACAGTGTCTTGCTCAGTTGCCTAGGTTGGGTTTGAACTTGTGATCTTCTGCCTCAGCCTCCCAAGTTCTGGGATTATAGGCTTGCACCACTGCACCTGGCCCCCACCAAACCTTAAAAGTACCAGCTCCCTGGGCTTGGTGGGGGACCAAACAGGAGATAGTGTGTTCTATGGCTGTCTGTGTTACCTATGCCTAGACTAGCTAGTTGGTACCTGCGTCGTGCGTATGCACAGATCGGTGCAGGGTTTCATTGCATTGGGAGGTGTAGGGAACAGGGGAAGGGGATGTTACCAGAACCTCTGCAGTAAGTCCTGGTCTCCTGTGAGCCATGGCAGTACACGGCGAATTACAGGAAAGGTAGACAAATGAGACTGAGAAGAAGCTGAGCTTTGGGTCTGATCAGTGCTGCTCTGGGCAGCAAAGACAAAAGCCCCCTAGCTTGCTG